AAGCAGGATCTATAATAAAACGTAAAAACCTTTCATAGAATCACTAATTTTAAAGAGAAATGTTAATATTCTCTATTCTTTCTTTAATATTGGGCATAGATGGTAAAGTCTACATTTTATGGTATCCATACTATATTTTGCATTCATGGTAGTTTGGATTATTATTTCCAGAAATAGGCATTTTACTTATCAGTAGGGATGCACCGATACTAGTATTGGCATCGGTGCTGATACCGAGTATTTAGGTGAGTACTCGTACTAGCTCAAATGCTCCGATGCCTAGCCCAAAACCCGATCTTCCGGTATCAGGAAGCCGGGCAGCGAGTCATTACACGCTGCCCGGCCTCCTGATTGGCCGGGAAGCCGGCTCCATGCTTCCTCAGCCGGGCAGCGTGTAATGACTTGTCGCCTAGATTCCTGATTGGTCAGAAAGCCAGTCAGGAAGCCAGGCGGCGAGTCATTACATGGCGCCCAGCTTCCTGATTGGCCAGAAAGCCGGATTAATGGTCCCTCGCCATTAACCCAGAGGAGGAGCATGGAGCCAGCTTTCTGGCCAATCAGGTCCTTAATGGGACTTCCAGTATGGGTATCCGGTATCGGCGAGTATTGAATACAAAATTATCGGTACTCAATACCGAAAAGCCGGTGCATCCCTACTTATTAGTGACCCTTGTATGTCTCTATACAGCTCTCCACCCCTGTCAGTCGCTAAACTCACACTTGGTACATAAGAGTGTGGGGAGATGAGAAAGGCTGCAGAGGCATACACAGTCTGTGAAGGGAAGTGAGCTACCCTATGAGTTTCTTTATTTTTTAGTTTACTAGCCTCCTGTATGACAGGCCCCAAATTCATAAAGTAAAACAAACAAATGTCCTTTCCTTGTCCTAAGAGACCTGGAGTCTCCTTCATTTGTACCCCAAGCAATCCTCCCAGACCCTGCAACTCACAGTGAGAGGTTTTAAGCAGCAGAGGCACAGCTGTTAATCCAGAAAGCAGGGGGCAGGGCCAGATGCTGGTTTACAGGCTTGTAAATGCAGAAGCCCTCAGCTGCTCCCCTGGATTCTACTAAAACCCACTGGAAAAAAATTAACACAAATGATGCAAGTGATAAACTGGTATTTAAAAAGAATGTGGTGTCAGTTATAGGTATATCTAATCATTCAAGTGGCAGCAATCTTGGGGTTGGCCGCCTAAGTGCATCCAAAGCTTTATGTACCAGTTTGATTTCCACTTGTTACATACAAATTTATATCAAGCAATTTTGATGTGAATTAACAGTTGTGGTAACAGATATTGTACAGGGAAAGGAGCTCAGGAAAAATATTGATCTGGTGTGCTGGAATCCTGCACTGGCTTTTCATGGCTCTGTTTTTATGGTCAGTTTTTGCCTATATGGCTCTTGTGCAGTATATTCTAAACCTTGCACACAGTGAAGGAAGGGTCTCCTAACAGTCTGATTTTAGAAATCATTACAGGGGGTTTATATCAAGTGCCAATTTGTAAGATATTTGTATGACCACAAATGCCAAATAAGCAGGAGGAAAGAATCTCAAAGGTTTCGGAACTAGCATAAACACCATCTTTCCTTACAGTGTATTTCCACTTTTGCAGTCAGATTTGAGAAAACACCATTATATTTTATGTATTCCCATTCACACAACTAGGCATACTAGTATCAGTATCGGTGCCGATGCCGAGTATTTGGGCAAGTACTCTTACTTGCCCAAATGCTCCGATGCCTAGCTCGATAGCTTCTGGTATCTGGAAGCCAGGCAGCAAGTCATTACACGCTGCCCGGCTTCCTGATTGGCCAGCTTCTCGACCAATCAGAAAGCTGTGCAATGAGTCATTACATGGCGCTGGCTTCCTGACTGTCCAGAAAGCTGGTGCACGGCGATAGCTTCCCTGCTTATCAGGAAGCCAGGTGGCGAGTCATTACACGCTGCCTGACTTTCTTAATGTGACTTTCAGTATCAGCAGGTCCCAAAAAAAATATCGGTACTCGATACAGAAAAACCTGTATCGGTGCATACACACAACATACCTAAAAATATATATATTTTTTTAAAGAAAACATTTCTACCTTATAGTTGTCTCTGTGGAGCAGGCCCTTGGTCAGTCTGCAAGCTTCTCTGTACAGTTTCAAGGTGACAGAAAACCCTGGCTGTCCCCATAAAAAGACAATGGATGCTCTGAGTTTCTCCCTCATTAAAATACAATGCTTTTAGATCGTTAACCCTTTGTTAGGACAGACAGTGTTCAAATCTAGTTTAAAACTGATAATGAGATCTGCCAGCACAGTACAGACGGGGTTAAAAACTTTTCTTTCAGAAAGCGCAACTAAAATAGTAAGCAGACATTTTTTAACAAATATAAAATGGATGTTCTCCATATTTGGCTGTGAAATCTGCACGCAGGCCATTAGCCATTATGTATGCCTATCTCCTCAACCACACCACCAGCACTTGACTGACTTTTTCCGGGTCTGGCACTGTGATTATTCTGTAATGTGCACAGTACGCACTTTCCAAGTGGAAGTTCAGGGAAGCGGTGCAGACAGTGACACAGTAACAGAGATGTTACAAAGGGGAAATGGTGCATGCTTGGGACCGAAGTGAAGCAAGCTACTTAGTGTTCCTCATTGTGTGTAATTAGAGGGAACTGATTGTTTAATACATTTCAACTATATTCATTTTTATGGCTTCAATATACCTCCTTTGTGTCCTCTGGCATTCTTAAATGGTAAATCACATGTTTTGAGCTTCTTCCTGATTTTTTTTTTTTTAGGTAGCAGGACTTCCTCTGATTCAGATTTTGATCAAGAGAGAGCAGAATGAAATGTTGGGAAAATAAAAAGGTCCCTCTGGGATGGAAAAGGGAGGTTGATCTTTTTCACTTGTGGAGGAAATTCCTGATAAACGGAATAACTGACAATGTGTGACCTTAACTAAGAGGCTTAGGGAAATTGTGTTTCCAGTTTTAAAGAGCCAGTAAAAACATATTTACACCATTTACTATATTATAAAGCAAAGTACCTCCCACGCCTTGCTTCTTCATTAAACCTGAACTCCAGGCAGATAAAAAGGTACATTTTACTGCAGTTCTATAATAATTTAATGTATTTTTTTAAACACAAGCAGTGTAAGTACCTGTATTTGACTTAGTATTAGCCAATTGCAGTGCTTGTACAGCCAGGATCAGACTGGGGGAGGGAGAAGCAGCACAAAGAACCAGTCATTTGTTTTGCAGTGGAAAGAAAAAAAGTGACAGAGTTGAGCCTGCTTCTTCTCATTTCACTGTCCAGTCACAGGGTGGTTTTGGGGAGGAGACCAGTTAGTGTTACTGAACAGTAGACAAGAAGATCAGGTCTCCTCCTCTGCCAGACAGGGCTGTGCTGTGTAGCAAAGCTGTGTAAATATCATAACTGAATGGACAGAAATACAAATTATTTGGCAGGTAAAACATACAAACACAACCCTCCTGAGAGCCCAGGACCTGTGCAGCAGGGAGCCTGGCAGATGCTTCACCTGGCTGAGCATACAAAGGTGCTGAGAGTCAGGTTTGCCATGTATCCATTCCAGTGGTAATAAGCAGGGAGTATGTGTGTAGGAGCTACTCCCTCCGAGACCCATAGCTGGGGGCTGCTCATTCTGTGCCGCCTGCTGCTTTGGGCTGCCAGTGCCGCAGCTCTGGAAGTGTGTGAAAACACTGCATCCCCGATCCAGCTGGCAAATCTGAGACAGTTGGCCGTGGAGCGCACTGCAGGTACCTCCTCATCATCACTGCCAACACATCGTAAACTAATTTCATCCATAATACCCAAGTATATATTCAAACTGCAAGAATGTAAATCAGTAGCCAATGTTCCTTAAAGATTACAGCTGGCACCTCATTGTTGAGAATTTCTCTAGTTGTTGATAATGGAGCTGGCTCCTAAAATAAATTCTGCTGGCTCCTGGATTGGCCAGACTAGCTCCTGAATTCCATATTAATTTGCCCACCCCTGATCTAAATAATACTTTGCATGGATGATTCCAGTCCATCTAACTGAACACATCACAGGGTAATAGTCCACTATGTCTTTCCAGCTCAAAAATAGAGCTCTTTCCAGAAGATACTGTTGATCCAATCGAGCTGTCGCTACAAATGAATTAATGTGGTGGAGACAACTCAGAAGGTAACGGACTTGATTGCGCAACAAAGCACAAAAAAATGTAAAAAAACCAAGCCTTCCAGTGTCTAAAGATTTTATGGAGTGTGGACATCTTGGACTGATCTATGATTTATGGTGCTGGATGACGTTCCAAGAAAGAAAAGAGGAGGGGAAAGAATTGTATCCCTCAAGAAATGGGAGATCTGGTGGATTAGCAAATTGGCGTCTCTTTATCCAAACGGATTAAACATAGATTGTGACCTGTGCTTGTTTATGTAAGGTTGTTCATTTTAGTTCTGGCTTTATGATTTTCAGCTTTTTGGATACATGCGACTTTGTGCATATTTTTCATAATGAATTACAATGTTGGTAATTTGATCAACAGTATCTTCTTTTGGAGAGTGTTAGATTTTTGTGCTGGAAAGACACACTGCATTCTATGCGGCATATTGGTTTCTAGCCCCTGTTCAGATTCCGCTTCCAACTGGAAAGGTGCCTGTTCTTTGGCACAAACCGACCTTGACATACATGTGTGTGTCCTAACACTTGGTCTCTTTTAGTCCCACTTGGTGTCTTAGCAGCAGCGCTTAACACCATAGACCTGGCCTTTACACCGATCTCAGGGTGTTCCACACAGAAGCCCTGCCTGATTGCAGTTTCTCGGTGTTGCCACATTTTCACTTTGATGGACAACATTTCTGTTTGAACATTTGCTTTGCCTGTATAAAAAGTTTACTACTTGTACATATCTTGCCTGTTAGTCTTACAACTGTAGCAGATTACTGTTTGGCTGCTACTTTTTTTCATATATATCTATATATCCAGACATATTTTTCTGTGTTTCAGCCTCCAGAAGGTCCATCTTCACTACCTCCATGTTTGCCTGCCGAGACTGCTCAAATCAACCAGGGAGACTTAACTGATGCTCTTATAGATACAGGAAGGAGTAGCAGAGAGCACTCAGAATCCGGTATGTTACAACCAGATGCAGTTTCTGTGCTGTGTATATGGATTTAGGTGTCAGATGCATATATCTTGTGTGTCAGATATATAATATATGTTCATTTATTGTTAAAGGTGAACCTCTTTTCCGTCAAAAGTCCCCAGTGTCTGTATACCTCTTCCCTGAGGAAGCAACATTAGGAAACAGAAATGAGACCACCACCCCATCTCCTCCACCCCCTGATTCACGGGTTTCACAGGAAAGTCTTGCAAGTTCAGACACAAGTGGAGATAGTGAGTTGACAGACACTGATGATTTCTGTATCCTTGATGCACCTGGGATCGGAGTGCCGGTAAGTGTCAGAGTGCAGTCTAGTTGATTTTGCCTAAATATATCTAGAAAACCAGAAAGCAAATGCCTGATACAACCCTTCTGTCCAGTTTTAAACAAAACTAAGCTGTTGCCCCAGGCTGCTTTCTGCTTTAACTGTAAGTACTTGAGGATTTTCAACGTAAAAGATATTTAAAAAAAAAACATGAGCTCCTCTCTCCCATCGCTGCTCCCACTGCTGCTATTGGCAATTACTGGCTGTTAAAATGACAGCTGGTAATTTGTATAACCCTGCAGGAGCGACTGTCAACATGCAGCCACTTCTTTGTAAAATGACACTTGCAGATTGCCTGCTAGTCATTGAGTAAATACAATGTAACAGTACTTTGTTTTATTGTATTTTCTATCATTCGATCTGTATATGACATCATAACATGTATTCCTATTTAACCCCTTATTAACCCTTAGCTAACTCTATTTAGCCATATTTAACGCTCTTCCCCCCTCTTCTCCCTTTAGTTACATATTTTCTGTTGCTTTTTTTTTTTCTTTTGTTAATTTTTTTTCGTTTTCATTAATTTTGGGGTTTTGTTTAGTGTCTCATAACAAGAAAAGGCACATTTAAAAATAAATAAATCTTTTTTTTGTTTTTTACCAGAATCATAATTTTAGTGTAACTTTAAACGGCA